TAAATACAGTAAAACTATGATCGCAGGTCCAAGTTTAACTCTCTGAGGTGTAAGCCATTTTTTCACATGTGAGGCTCGTCTGGGCTTTTCTGGTAAAAATGCTATTAAAACATGAACCTTGGTGACCATCGGGCTGGCCTGCATGGTCTGCCTACAAAACAAAAATAAAAAAACGTTAATGCAGCCCCAAAAACAGCCTCTGATCATCAACAGACTTCATGCAAAGCTTCATCAGATGCATATATTAGATAATAATCTCTATCTCACTCCTAAAACATCTAGATCTACTTCCAGCATGGATACATGTTCATAAAATACATCCATTGTTTGTTTTATACGCTTCTTGATATCTAAAAAAAATAAAATCGTATTTTCTAGAACAGATTACAAATCGCCTGAAAATGTTACAAACAAGTGGCAACATGTGTGACGAAGGTGTTAACCTGGGCTATATCATGCAATCGAAAGTGAAACTTAAGCTCGCTCCTTTGCGGAGATATTCCCGCGAGAGTGCGGAAAACTTTAATTAATTAATTAATTTAAAATGTGAAATGTTACCAATATACTCACGGGCCACTAGGGGGCGCTCACGGACCACACTTTGAGAAACACTGTCCTACACTAACGATAATAATAATAATATATTTGTCCATGCCATCTTCTAAAAGTCCAAATAGATGTCTTTAAATGACGTGTTTTTCAGTCAAAATCCCAAAGATCTTTAGTTTAATGTGATATCAAACAGGAAAAAGTGCTAAATATCTATATTTTAAAGCCTCAAAACTGCTTTTTCTGACATATTTGTATGAAAATGTTGATTAAAATAGTTACAGATTATTATTCTGACGATCCACACAATGTCTCATTTAACAAACGTCTGCAGGAGTTCGTTTAAATCGCTTAAAACATGAAATATTCAGCAGGAAACCCCAATCTGTGGGTTGAATCTGTCTAACCACTGCAGGCCTCCATGTTCCCCCCTGGCTTGCACAGAGAAGTTGTAAATGACCAGTTTCCGCATCACGGTCCACTCTGAGTTTATTAATTCCTTTCAGAGCGATGCATCCGTTTTTATTACGTCGAGCAGCTTCCTGGCGCTGATGATCATTAGAGGAACCAGTCTCACATCAACACTGAGAGTAAGTGCAGTTACTCAGACTGGTCGGACAGCGGGATACCAGGAAGGGAAAGACGGCAGGGTAGATAGGGTATTTGATGGGTTACAATGTAAACTGTGCTCGTGAGTCCCTGACTGTCCACATCAATAAGTAATTTAGGAGTGTTTGCCCAACAGAGACGGACAGAGAGGAAGTTTAAGGAGGACGGATCAATCGATAGGTTGATGGAGAAAGCGACAGGAAGGACTTCAATAATTCAAGGATTCCTTTTTATCTCATTACCCCACAAAGAAGATCCCCTTCCTGTTTCTAGAACTGCATCTTTATATATTAAAAAAGCACCTTTTGTGAACAGTGTTTCCCATGCATTGATGTATTTGTGGCGGGCCACCACAATTAAATATCGTCCGCCACAAATGGATCTCATAAAAAAAAAAATA